CGTGGTCTGACCTGCCGAAGGGTGGTTGTGTCTTTGCTGCATAGCCGTCTCTGAAGGAGAATAACGGTCCAATGTGCTGTCTCCTCTGGTGGGGAAGGCGATGTGCTGGCAAAGTTTCAGCATCACCTTCCTCAGGTTGGCACTGTGACGATGTCCACGATGAGGGCTGCTTCCCGGTGGTTAGCCTGGTAGCTGGAGAAAGCCTCATGTAGCTCAGCTAACACAGTATCCGTGTCCGCCTGCGGGTGAATGTAGACGGCACTGAGATGACCGAGGTGAATTCCCAGGGGAGGTAGAAAGGTCGGCGTTTAATGGTTAAAAGTTCCAGGTTGGGCGAGTAGGACTTAGAGAGACAAACAACATCTCTGCACCAGTTGTTGTTGGTCATGAGACAGACACTGCCGCCTCTAGACTTCCCTGACTCAGCCGTTCTGTCCATACGATGAACTTTGAGGAACTACGCTGGTTGAACGGCATGATCCAGTATCGTGGGGGTCAGCCATGTCTCCGTGAGGCAGATGATGTTGCAGTCTCTTGTGTCCCTCTGGTACCTAATCCTGGCTCGGAGCTTGTCCAGCTTGTTGTCCAGGGACTGGACGTTTATGAGCAGGATGCTAGGCAGTGGGGGTTGGTGTGCTTGTAGCCTCAACCTGTTCCTGATGACGGCTCATTTCCCCCATTGCCTGTTACGCTGTCAGCATCCTGTGTTGTTGTTGTTGTTGTTGGGGGACCCCCGCAGGACCTCACTGGGCCAGGATGCATTGGGGGAAGTTGTGCAATGTGGTGAGAAACCAATATTCACCAGTGTGTCTTTGTCATATATGATAAGACCAGGACACGACATGGTGAAGGCCGTGCAAAAAGATAAATAGAAAGTTCAATAACAACAACAACAAAAAAAGGTGTAAGGGTGCTGGAGCAGGTCAACGGCTGCCTCACTACTGGCGCCACCTTGAAGGAAGAATAGTATTGAATATACTAATGCATCTCAAAAAACATTTTTTAAACATTATTTTTGGAATATTTCCCAAGTTCATTACAAAAAAAGGATTTACAATCCAAAAATTTCTAATTTCTGAAAAGTATGGTTATTTATACACACAATACTTGGTTGGGGCTCTTTTATCCCAAATTACTGCATCAATACTGCGTGGTGTGGAGGAGATCAGCCTGTGGCACTGATGAGATAATATTGAAATCAGCACAGTTTGTCTGTATTTTCGGTGTTTCTAATCTTCCTCTTGACAAGACCCCAAGATTTATAAAACACGGTGGACCAACGCCAGCAGATGACATGACAGTCCAAATCATCAGAGACTGCAGAAACCTCACACTGGACTTCAAATGCCTTGGATTCTGTGCCTCTCCAGTCTTCCTCCATACTCTAGGACCTCAATTTCCAAATGCAAAACTTAATTTCTTCTGAAAGGAGAACTTTGGACAACTGAGCAACAGTCAAGTTCTTTTTCTCCTGAGGACATCTGTACTTGTTGACTCTTGATTGACTGACACCAGCCACAGCCCACTCTGTGTGAAGCTCTCCTAAGTCCTGGAATTAACTTTTCTTGACAGTCCTCTCAAAGTTGCAGTCATCCCTGCTGTAGGTGCACCTTTACCTACCATGCTTTTCCCTTCTGGTCAACTTTCCATTAATATAATTTGATACAGCACTCTGCTAACAGCCAGCCTTTTTAGCTACAACTTTCAAGTCAGCAGCTTTCATCATGACTGTGTACTGAACTAGACACAGATATATGCAGTATTTATACTGTTTGAATTGTAATTTACTCAAAATATTCTGATTCTAATTTTTTGAGATGCACTGGTATAATAGCTGCAGACTGCAGTTGCAGCTTTAGAATGTTTTTATTGAGATTATGCTTGGGCTTGTTGTACATGGATAAAAATGAAAAAAGAAAGAGTTACAGCTATGATAGCAGACTTCATGTTCACATATGATGCAGCTATTGTGTGTCTAAATAGTGATTATTCTGATAGAGTGTTGGCTCCAACTTATTTCCTCATGGCCACAACTGAACTGGACAATACTCATTGTACAGCTCATTGCCTGAGTCTGAGTACATTTACTCCTCATTCTTACAGTAAGGAAACAAGATAAGATAAAATGGATGAAAAGTGAAAAGACTAAACAGTTTTTGTTCCTGAGAGTTGAAACAATTAGTTTCTTTGTCACAATAGTTTTTCTGTAGTTGAGGGATATAAGTATTTAACAAGTCTGTATGTGAAAGGCTTCATAGCAGAAAGGATTTTTTTTCCTAAGTCAGTAAAGCCCCTTTCAGACATGCACTCCATTCTGTCAATTCAACACGTTTGCTTCATGTCTGAATGTGCACCACAAGTTGTGCCGGCAATGTTGCTAGGCCAGACCTAGTAACATTTCCGTTGTTTGTATTTTTTTTAAAAGTGGGTGGGATTAAGTGAAGGATGCGGCTTTTGTGTTTCCTCAAAATAGTGGTATCTGACGGGAGGCAAAGTCTGAAGACTTGGTGTAAGCCTTGCCCACTTCTTATGCAGAAGTTGCCAAGATAGTCTGGAATCTCCTCTGTGACAAGGTGCCTGGTGTAAACGAGATTCACCCTGAGATGCTGAAGGCTCTGGATAATGTTGGTCTGTCTTGGCTGACATGTCGCATGGACATCAAGGAATGGCTTTCTCATTTTTAAAAATGGGAACTATTGGGGTATGACACTGCCCAGCCTCCTACCCTGGCTGAGGAACAATGGACCAGCTCTTTACTCTTTCAGAGCTGCTAAGGGAGTCATCAGAGCTTGACCATCCTGTCCACATGTGTTTTGCGGATTTGGAAAAGGTCATGTAATCATGTAATTTGAGGGGACCTATAAGGGGTACTGTGGGAGTATGATATACTGGGGCCGTTTATACAAGCCATCTGGTCATTGCACGACCAAAGTGAGGGCTAAGTTTGCGTTCTCTACACAAATTCAAACACGTTTCCACCAGGGTTGCTCTTTCTCGCCGATCCTGTTTGTGACATAAATGGATGCGATGTTTGGGTGCAGCCAAGGTCAGGAGGGTCTCCAGTTGGGGAACTCTCTGCTGTTTGCAGATGATGTCATTCTGTTAGCTTCATCAGACCCCAAGCTTCAGCATGCATTGAGGCGGTTTGCAGCCAAGCGGTAAAGAAGTTTGAGTATCTCAGGGTCTTGTTTACAACTGATGGGAAAATAGAGCATGAGATGGACAGACAGCTTGGGGTGGCATCAGCAGCAACTCAGCCTATGTGTTGGACCGTTGTGGTAAAGGTGAAGCTGAGCCAGAAGACGAAACTCTCAATTTATCAATCTGCGTTTCAGCCCTCATGTGTGGTCATGAGCTCTGGGTAGTGAACGAAAGAATGAGGCTGGATAAAGCTGCCAAAATGACTTCCCTCCGTAGTGTGTCTGGGCTAAGCCTTAGCGATAGAGTGAGGAGCACAGACATCCAGATGAGGTTTGGAGTAGAGTACTGCTGCTCTGCATCGAAAGGAGCTAGTTGAGGTGGTTCCAGCATCAGATTAGAATTCCTCCTGGGCACCTTCTTTTGGAGGTTTGCTGGCCACGCCCAGCTGGAAGGAGACGCTGGGGTAAGATCAGAATTCACTGGAGGCATAGCATATCTGTTCTAGGCAGGAAACACATTGGTATCTCCCAGTAACTCGAAAGTGTGGCTTGGAAGATACACGACTGGAATTATCTGCTTCCCCTGCTGCCTGTGCGACCCGACCCCGGATGATTAATAAAAACAAAAATAATAATAATAAAAATATATATGCTGTTTCAAAGCTGTCTCTATTCTCCAAAATTATTATGATGAAGAAAGGTTTCATTTCATTGTGTAAAAAACAGTAATTACATAAACTCAGCCAAAAAAAATGTCTGCGTTTTTCCATAAACAAATCCAGGGTGGTTAGAATCCTTTAAGTCAAGACTCCCTGTTTATGTTTGCAGGTCTCTTAAGAAATTCCTAGGTAACACACGTCAGCTGCACATAAATTGACACACAAGGTGATAATACAGCTAATACATATGGCTGGCAACACTTTTTAATCTATGTTACTGTTGATGGTTATGTACTAAAGCAAAAAGTCCAATTCCTTATATGTGAAAACCTATTTGGCAATACATCCTGTCTGAGTCTTATACTGATGTCTGCAGTTATCTTAGATAAATCCAATAATTTGCCTGGGGATGTTTAAAAATAAGACACTGACTTGCTTGGCTAACAACAAGACAGGCATAAAAACTGATTTTTTTATTGACATTCCCACACAAAGTTGGAAGACTCTCACAGCCGGTGGTTCATAATCAGCCTGATGACGTGCTGCTTCTGAAAACATGCCCATGTCTACAGTGTGCAGACATTCTGTTACTAACAATATTTCTAAAACAAATAACATCTGTCAAATAGCTTCTCCATGATTACTGTCAGGAACAGAGCTCACTGCCATGTAACCCAAGGAATCTTCGCTGTGTAACACTTCTCAGTTTACGAACAGATATACAAACCGAATAGTTTTTGCCTCAAAAAGTTTACATCAAGCCAGAGGAGCAACATTTGACTACTTGAATTCACAAAGCTATCATTTCTGTCTAGCATGTTGTCATGAAAATTAGCATCCAGTTAGGGATGAAAACCTGACACCGTTACTGTGTTTACACTAGCTTCACATCTGCAAATATGCTCATAACTTCTTGTTTGTGATCTCTGTCTGCATTTGTGCCCGGAAAGCGTAAGAATGTTTAATCAGCTTGTGGATGACCAGCAGCCCTGAAAAACGGAAATAACGATTTAAAATGCTTTGTTTTCTGGTCCCGTGAGTAGAATACCACCCGTGTTTTCAGCTTGTGTCGCAACAAGTCAGGGCCTTGCACTCTACTGTATCTTTCCCTGTGACTGACTGGCACAAAGCTAACACAACAGCAAGATGCTAACACTTGCCGCTGTGTCAGCTGCAGAAAGTATCGGATAAACGTTCTTACTTGATTCGGGACCCCATCCTTAATTGTCACTCCGCTGTCGCTGACAGCTGATTAGAGTGCGCAGACGCGTCAGTCCGGAGGTGTTTTTCCGATGCTAACCTGCCTGTCACACAGAGATGTAGAACGCCATGGTACGTCTGCACGTACAAGTCACACACTTCGCGCTGAACCCTGGGACTTGTAGTTCTATTGTAACGGACATTAGGTCTGTATTACGGAGAAATGTCGTGTTAAAAACTACAACATCCACAAGATGATAGGGTCGCGTGATGCTATATTGGCCATTTCGGGTCGATTGGGTCGACATAGTTACCGTTACTTTAAAAAAAAAAAAGAAGAAGAAGAATTTTGAGACTTTATTGGCTTATTTATTATTAACCTAAATCCGGTTCATCAAAAGTTCACATAGATCAAAAAGATAAATGACTAATGTTTTGCATCATTATTTTCATTTTAGATATTATAGAAGGAACTACTACAATTTATGTAAAAAATTGACCTACACAGTAGGGCCATGTTGTCAATTTCATTGTTTTCCAATCACCCACACACCACAATCAAATATTTTTTTAAGTAGATTATTTGTTCATTGTTGGTGTCTCTTTATAGGCAAAAATACAAAAAAAATCTCCCAGTGTCTCAGATGTGTCCACTTTTTTAGTTTCTTTGATAGCAGACAATGATTTAAACTAATTATAATATGCTTGAGCTTCAGGGAATCATTGTGACATTTATCAGTATTTTCTGACATTTATAGACAAAAAATAATGAATGTTTAGAAGAGAAGAATCATCAAACTGTTGACAACTAAAATAACTGATGGCCTCACAGTACTTTTGTGAGGGAATAAGACTTGTGTGCTCAGTACTTGCACACAGAAAAGTTATATAGCAATATTTTAACAATTCATGTCTTAAAACTAGATTTCAGCACCGATACCCTACATAAGGTAGGGCTGCAAGATGGAAAATTGTACAAAGTGGATGTTCCGCTACATAAGAGACTACTACTCACTAGATAAAGAGAGCTATACGGGCCTGTTGATTATAGTTTGCCATGACCATACTGTTCATCTATACTCAAGATTTACCAATATAAATGGACAATGAAAATCCCACCCAAAAGGAAAAACACTTTCTTATGTGTTGTGGAGCCTTGAAAAACCTTCAGCACTCCTTGACAGATTCTCCATACTGGACGGACGGACAGCATTCGTTTCAGTGTTAACTTTGTTAATAAAAATGATAACAACAATGAAGAATGAAATCAAAACTAAACTAAAGAAATGGTACGTAGTTTCAAAATGAGAAATATGACAAAATGTTGCAGTTCCATGAGATGGACAGGTGGCTTAGTGCAGTCTCAGTCACCTGGGAGGCTTCCTTTGGAGATTTTCATGGCACATCCAGCTGGAAGGAAACCCTGCTGTAAACCCACAATTCACTGGAGGAATATTCTATCTCTTCTGGGCTGGGTACACCTTGGTATCTCCCAGGAAGAACTGTAAAGTGTTACTGGGAAGAAGGATGTCTGGAATGACTTGCTTCACCTGCTGGCTCTGCGACCCCAGACAAGTGTAAGAAAATGGATAGATGGGTTCATAGTTTTGTCAGCACAAAAGTAAAATGTTCAAGAGAGACGAATGGACAAACTAAGTAATAACTGGTTTAATTTAAAGTCTTAGTCAGTGATTTGTGGCATCTGTGGAATCACCTGCTGCAGCCTCGTGATCTGTAATTTTCTTCAGTTTCTTAACCCTCCTATTGTCTTTGGGGCTGCAGCTGGTTTGTGGACAGTCATGGTTAAGACAAAGGAGCTCACTGAGGACCTGCAGCTACTCTCAAGTCAGGAAAGGGCTATAAGGTCATATCTAAATGTTTTCAAGTTCCAGTGCTACAGTGCAACGTATTATTAAGAAATATAAGACGTTCCACACTGTGGAAAATCTCAGAGGATGTGGTCGGAAGCCAAAAGTGACACCTGTGCTGCTGGATAGCGAGAGAGGTGAAAAAGAATCCAAGGCCGGGGCCATCCTGGAGAACCTGGGCCCTGCTGGTGGCAATGTCTCAAGGCACACAGTCCAATGGACACAGCACACTGCTGGGTTCCATGGATGCAGACCAAGGGCAACGCCACTTCTCCAGATAAGGCACACAAAAGCCCGCTTGGCCTTTGCAAATGCTCATCTGTTTTATGGTGAGATGAAACAATAATTGAATTGTTTGGCCACAATGATGTAGCCTTCATTTGGCGTAAAAAGGGAGAAGCCTTGAAGCCCTGGAGCTCATTGCAAAAGATGAATGGACAAAAATACCAGTGGAGACATTCAAAAAGTTGTTCAGCAATTATAGGAAGCGTTTGATTGCTGTAATAGCCAATAAAGGCTTTTCTATTGATTACTGAGAAGGGTATGAATAATTTTGGTTATGTCGTTTTTTTGTTCAAACGTAAATAAAAGCTGAGAAATAATTTATTTCCACAATGATGCCTCTTATACACTGTCCTATCTTGTGGGAGAAGCCTGTGTCGTTTCCAGTCAAAAAAATACAAAACTTGCTGCTTTAATAAAAGTAACTTTAAGCCAAAATTTGTTAGGGGTATGAATAATTTTGGGCTCGACTGGATATTAATAGTGAATTTTCTTGTGAGAACAAATTCTGCTCAATACCTGGTGCTCTTCTTGAGCTTCGTCACTTGTTTAAATAATCATATCATCAGACAGAGGTCCCATCCCACATGCAGGGTGGTGAGTGGGGAGATCGGGAGTGTTGAGGTTTGATCTACTTTTGAATAAACACTTGACACAACCTCACCACCACTTTGCAATGGACATGCTTCCACAAGACTTGTACTTGAAATTAATTTTCTCTCATTCAGAAAGATGTCAGCAAACCAAATGGAAATGATATTTGACCGCTGCATGCAATAGAAACAAGGATGGATTGATTCCTCCTTTGTGGTTTCAATATATCTTCCTGTGGTTTTAAACAAAGAGCTGTAGGTGACCCGTGCTGTGGCTGTGGAGGACAGAAAAGGGAAATTCCAGAGTAGTATAATATTGTGACTGAAATTCTAATCCAGTTCACTTCATCACATTTTCATTTACATGTGGCCAAGTCAGTGTATTGTCAGGCTGCCTGTATTTCTGACTGAACGAGGTTTTCCTGCTGTTCTCAGCATATTTGAGTTCCTGAGAAATTTGTGTTCTATGTGTAGGCAATTATTTCATAACAGGAAACTGTTGCAACACTTCAAACTAAAAATTGCATTTGAAAGCATTTTTGACAGAAACGAGTTGGAATCACATCTATTCTGTCATATAACTTGGTCATATTTCCCCTCTTTAAATTAGTTAATTAGGCACCGATGTGGCTTCTTGTGTAAAATGCATTACAATGTAAAATAACATTGAGAGACCAAGTCTAAAAACGACTGGCTACACAAACACAGGTTGTTGGTTTTATACATTTTTACTTGAATTACGAAGCAAATATCTTAATTGTTTCTCTCCTGGCTTTTTCTGCTGTTTTGATCATTGGAAGTATAGTGGTCATTTGAAAAAGCTATGTGGCTATATTTGACAGGGTAGTTATGAACACTGGATTTTTTTTATGGACGTTCTAATGTTCTTAAAACATAGTGTAGATACAGAACAGTGTAGATAAAATGAATGCAGGACTTTAATATTGGGTGGAAATCACAATATGGTGGAAATGAGCTGCTTGGTGGAGGTCTGCTCTTTCCAAGTGCTTTTTTGGTTTGGTATTTATGTTAAAAGATAAATATTGCATTGTTCACATGGAGCGTTCTGCTAGAAAAAAGGTTACAGCATACTGTGAACATATGAACTTTATCAGTACCTACATTTCTTGGATGCAAAATATCAAGAACCTCTGAGGTTCATTACAAATGGTTAGTCTCTCACACATCATTGTTCTTTGTCCACCCAAATCAGCTGCTCCTTTTGAACTGACCTAATTATAGCACAGAATTATACACATCTTTAAAGGCAATGTTGGGTCACAGCCAACATTGCTTTTCAAGCATACCACACCACTGCAACCATAACTGCACTAGACAGCAGGTTTCCAGTCATGTCAGAGCAGCCTTTGGCCTCGTAAATTTTAACTACAAGTCTCAAATGAATGAAGCTCTCGTTCTCCACATACTACTTGCTGACACACTCTTCAGAAATACTTTGCTGGGCGGATATTTAATGGGATGCCTCACATGAATGGTGTCATGCTCAACAATTCAAACTTGTTATAATGATGTTCAGATATCTGCAACTTTGGTCAAAATGGAATACCAGATATCTTTAACTGTGGTTTTCATGGTTGGATGATGATTTTAGAGGTACTCCTCCTTTTCCATTCTGCCATTTACATTGTGTAAAGCACAGTGGTCCCTTAAAGGCAGCTGTTCTATTTGTAGTTCAACAAATTTAAGGAAAAACAGCTTAAAGACAGTCATAAATGAATTAACTCAAACACTTTTATTGTAAACCATGGAAAAACATGCCATTTGTGTCAGGAATTCTTAGGATAGAGTCACATCAGTAAACACACTACAGAAGTATTTAGGAGGTATCCATAGTCTGTACAGACTCCTCCACCAGCTCCAGGTCCAGCGTAGTTACAACCTTCGACAACACACTGGTGGTTCCTCTTTTGTACTTGTAGTCTCCAGTTCTACAAGACACACGGAGTAATACATGTCAGTTGGGTCAAACAAGTGTGTGGTGTTTGTTAATAAGGTTGCACACAACAGAGATTTCATCTTCATCAGCACAGCATTTCTCTTTATCCAAAACACACACACATGCACACTAGTTTAACTTTGTATGACTATACAAAGTTAAACAAAATGGGTAAGTGGATAAGATTATTATTATTATTTTTAAAATTTGGTTAGTGGTAAATTCAGACGAGTGGAGGGGCGGCGGCTGTTAGGTCTGCACTCTATGAACACACTCCATCGGTACTCACAGGTGCAAGGTTTCAAGCTCATGTGCTCTTTAAGCAGAACAAGCAAGAAGACAACTAGTTATGCAACATTCATTGAGTGATCCAAGTTAATGGGTCCAGTTTAAAACAATGAGTACAACATGTGAACATGCGCTGTTAAGATGTGACACATTCTATTCAAGCAGATGTGGTGACACAACCGCAATGTTCTCATGTACTGTCCAACAACACAGGTGCACAGCTGCTAAACAGCTTGGATTCCTGATGTCTTACACTTAAACTTTTCCCCATTTTCAACATGAAAATACTGAATTACAAATACTAGATATTAAACTTTTACTGTACAGACCAAAAACCTATTTAATTTGGAAAAGCAGCTGCTGGTTCATGTCTGGCCAGCAATACTGGCTGCAGCTGTGTGCTAACTGTGAAGAGTCGGACTACCAGAAAGCAGATCTTAAAAAGACTCAAGTCTAAACTGAATAAGTCAGAGATGAGAAACTGAGTTTTCAGTTTCAGATAAGAAGTTCACTCCGTTTGTTGTTGTTAAATGGGTCACAAGGCTTTAAATGTTATTCCTCTAAATCTGTGTTTTGATCTGTTTTATGTTTTTTTTATGCAGTTGCAGTTTGAGTTTTATGATTTTTTTTTTTTTCATCCCAAAATTTCCTTCAGCCAGAGTGGATCACCTACTCTAGATTTTGACCAAATATTTTTTTTGGGAAAAATGCATTAGCCTCAAACATGAAAGACTGTCAGACAGCTTGTTCACATTTGGCAGGAGGGGTGGAGTCAGAATTTGTGTGTGAAAACCTACCAGCAACATTCACACAGTTAAGTGGTCTCCATTTCTGGAACTGAAAACTACTTTCCCTCAAATTAGGGTTCACAAACTCATCACCGCATTGGAAATACACAATACAGTAATGTCCATGAGTAGTTCTCACCTGACACCCTTCTTGTTGGCCTCATCATGGGGCCTAATGTAGTCCACCTTTCCCTTGGTGATAACACACAGGTCAATGTTGCTGCCAGAGCCCAGGTCATTAAAGATCCCTGCAGCGATACCATCACGGACCAGCTGCTTGGCATCCTCCTCCTTTAAAGAAACATTATTGATGCTCAAATGAACACCAGTGTGCTTTTACAGGAAGTGAAAATCAGTTGTATGGGCTTATGAGGCTCACTACAGGTGTTGTGTTGCTACAAATTTTGTGTCTGAGTTGTGGACTAACCTCCATGTCAGGCTTGTAGCGATCCTCAAACACTGCCATGGCAGCCAGGGACCCAGACCCTTTAGAAAAGAAAAAAAAAGGATCACTGACCGAACATTATATAACTCAGTCACAACATGTTCCATCACACAGACCAGCAAACCTTTGAGTAGTGAAAAAAGTAACAAGATACTAAAACCAGGCAAGGCAGGTCCAGGGAAACTAACCCTTGGAAGAAAATTATAATGATTTTAATACACAAACTAAGTCTTTTGAAGTGATTTGAGTACAATTAGAAAACACCATCTTGATAAACAAATAGGTTTTCTCAAATTTCCCCTGAGTCACAAGATCACATGACATTGTGTGTGTCTGTGATACACATTAAGGTTTCCATTTGCAGTTTCTTAAAAAAAAAAAGTAAGTATTTGACAAGCACAAATCCATCAAGACATTAAGCTGTAACTAAAATATGCAGCAACAGTGGAATGTTAATAGCTGAGACTGACCCATGGTGACGTAGGGCAGCTTGTCAGTGGAGCCGTGAGGGTAGATGCTGTACAGGTGAGGACCGTTACAATCTACTCCACCCAGAACCAGCGCGGCACCGATGTAGCCCTGATATCTGAACACACATACAGATGCACACATACATATATAAACACACAGAGATACAGACAACAGTATTGCTCATTCACAAGCCACATAACTAACATCTGATTGTGCAAAAAAGTGTACTGCATCCTGATAAGCACTGACAAAGACCAAGGAGTGTACCTGAAGAGCATTTGTTTAAGCATGCGGTTGGCGGTGGCCACACGTGGCAACCTGCCTGTTGAGAGTGAGTGCAGTTCCAGGTTGGAAGAGATGATCTGAGTGGTCATCTCTGTGTCTGCAGCTGTTCCAGCCCCACAGCAGCTGGACGACGACACAATTTTAGTCATTTAGTCATTGTCCCTTAAAACAACACCTCAACTCACATGAAGCCTTCAAAAAATAAAACTGAACCAAACAGGTGCAGAGAGTGCAGGATTTAAAAATTCAGAAGCTCACATCGGTTCATTTGAATACACAAATATTGCGTGCAGAATAATGTAGGGAAATGAGAGTCCAACCAACTCTCAAACTCTTTTTAACCTGCAGTGTATTGAACAACTGAGGTTCTGTCACTTACTAAATGTTGGGGGAGATGTAGTGGATCTTGGAGCAGTTCTTGTCTGCCACTACCATGCCCTCAGTGGCTCTGGTGTCAGCTCCCAGGACAACACCATCCTTCAAAGTGAACACAAAATAGAATTTAGATTCAGTAAATCATTACTCTGCAATTGCTTTAGTGCTTTTCAGCAAAGTAAAACAACACTTCTTAAAAAACATTGTGGAGACAGTTTAAGATTTGTGTGATGATCAGTGAACCAAAGTATGTAATTAGGTTTATTAGGTGTTTTATTTACACTAAGTATACATATAAGGATATGTTTTAGTCAGATGAGATTAATTCTTTAATTTTATCCACATACAGTAGATATACTTATTCCTTATGAGGTCTGTTTTGATTATTGACAACAACGTCACCATGAAAACAGTAAAGTCTTTAAGGCCAATTCATGCTTTCGGCGTGTCCGCAAGGGTAAGCTGTCAAAAATGTATAACCATGTGAACTGTCTGCAATGCAAGTGGCCAACTGCAAATGTGACACATAGCTTTGTGAAAATATATGAAAGTTTTAATACATCCAGTGAAAAACAAAACTTCACCCAATGTTGGGATACAGAATATTTTAACTGAAGGGCCATATTTGATCCACAGGCTGCTTTTTAACAACCATTTTACATTGTACAATATATCCTCTAAGCACTTTTTCACAACAACACTAACACCTAGAACCTTCATGTGCATAATGTAATGACAACATAAGATCCCAACTTGTGCGTATGAAGCAGTTTGTTTTCAGTCACTCACCTTGAAGACAACACCACAGATGGTAGTTCCTGTTTTTCGAGCAGCCGGCATACTGAATCCCAATTTGTTAGCATCCTGATCCAAAACTGCATTTCTGAAAATAAAAACAGAAAAAAGCATTTGAACGACTCTTAATGGACTCAAAACACAATTCTAAGTGGTCAGACCGAAAAAGTCAAAACAAATTTAATCAGTCCATCAACTATTTACCTCCCTGATGCTATAATTTTCTAAATCTTTCCTTAAATTGCACTTTTTTAAACTCCATATATATTTATATATATTCGTTTTTCAACATATGTAACAGAAGGCAATCTATAAATATTGCCAATATATAGAGATATTTCCATTTAACAGACTTAATGGACACATAGCACACATTTCCCAAACCAAATCACAGCATTGTAATAAAACACGCAGTGAATGTAAATGTATTTTATTCGGATTTGTCACACAGTACCGTCATTAGGTATGTACTGTGTCTGACTGGTTGTCACTACAGTTTGTGGTGTTATTGTTTTAACATAGTTTAACGTTAGCTCCTCGTTTAAGCAACCCACACATATAGTGGCTGTATACAAGCTAATAACGCTCCTCCTTTCCTTTTTCTTACACAAACGCTTATAAAAATACAGAAAAATTAACTAACTTTATTGTAATACAAAATTGCAAGTTATATTGGCTCTAAAAATAAAGCATACATTTTGTAAAATATTAAGTCACCTTAATATCAACACTAGCGCGGCGGGGAAAAGCCTGAGTCATTGTATGGAAGCCAAGTTAACATCAGCTAGCATCGCTACAAAACCTGTATTAAACACCTCTATTCCCCACAGCGTCTAACTAAAAAAGGTAACACTTATGCTAAAGTCATACTGGTATGATTTTAATTGGTTGATAGGCGTTTACCTCTTGCAATTTTCGAAACTGAAACCTCCGAAAGGTGGCCGTGTCACTGTCAGCGTCGCCATCTTGGTGAATAGTGTGTGTTTCCGGGAAGTGAAGGAAGTGGAGGAAAGGAGAGGCTGCGTTCACGGACAACACGTTGAGCTGCACGTCAGTCTTTCACAGCTGAAGAAATAAATTCACCGAAACAGGACAGTTATTTCAGCTGGTGTGCAAATGTGCCAAACAATAATCCATAAAGGATAAAAAACAAAAACAACAAAAACAACAACAACAACAACAAAACACATTTTACAGTTTCTTTAACAATAAACAATTTAAAATAATTGAATGATACAGAAAACAATACTTTTATTTTTATGTAAATGTATAAAATTGTGAAATGCTAATGCTAAACTTAAAACTACACAAAACAAAGATCCCTGATACAAGCATCATTTGCAAAATTAAAGAAACTGCTTTTGACCTTTACGCATCATCTGAATTTTAAACAGCCACTGTATCAACACAGAAGCATATTTCAAACATGACAAAAAAACTTGCACTGAAGAAAGATTTTGAAACAGTAAAAAAAAGTCATCTACTGTGTTAGAAAAAAGACTACAGAGACTGCAGAGAAAGTAATCTACACAGCCTTCAAAAATGCTTACCACAGGTCCCCTGATTTTAGAAACGTACAATGTTACATTCAAGTGCTCTCTGTAATGCTTTGACAACTGCTGAAATTCAAGCATCAGGAATGGAGAAAATACAACAAAGTGCAACACAAGGATATTCGAGGAAGAATGGTCTGGCTGTAGATATAAGGAGAGGCACTGTTAAGAAAAGACGTTACAACTTTTTCCCATTGTGAATAAACAATGTGTGCAGCACAGGAGAAAATATGCAAGGATAAGGAAAACAAAGGCATGTTGCAAAACGCTGTCTTCACAACAGCCACAAGGTCAAATCAGAGGTCATCATGAAATGTAAAATGGACATACCATTAAACAGCGGCCTCGTATCTCAAGCAAGAACTAAGGCAGACAGAGAGTGTTTTAAGAGATATGTTTGAACAGTTTCTAAACCAAAAGCAAAACCATATACAAAAAAATATCAGTGGCAGCAATATAAGAGTAATGCATAGTTCCCATCCATCCTGCTCATAAGGAATTCATGTCACCATTGAAGTCTTCGTCCCAATTCAAAAATGTAAGATTACATTTGCTAAAAGGAGGTAATGATTAGTTTACTTGGCTATGGCACTGCCAATCCAGTGAGACTAAGCCAGATTGGCAATGCACGTAACATACCTCAGCTGGTACAGTTTATAGTAATCCCAAACCAGACTGTCATGCCCTCCATCTACACTGCTTCGCTGGCAGTCGTCCCCCAATTCCTTTTTCCCTTCTCCTTGAGTCAGGTGTGTGAGTGTGTGCTTTCCTGGAGCAGGTTTGACTGGCTAACTAGCTGAGTGAGGAAGTGACAGATATGTTTTATTAGGAAGCTGGTTTCAGAAAAAACTAATAGAAATAGTGGAAATTCATCTACAAATACTCTTGCATGTAAAAAAAAAAAAAACAACTAATAAATTAAAAAATGTCTTGTAAAAGATAATAAAATTCTTGTTTAAAAAGGACTGAAAAGACTTTAAAAACTGTTGAAGCATGTTGAGGACTTAGGTTTAGTGATAATGATTGATTGTTCATGCCTGCGATTGCCAGAAGGGGGAGCTCTGGGCCGCAATGCTCCATTCAGACCAAAGCTGCCAGAGGAAGCATTCCCTGTCCTGAGCATTCGTTGTCATATCCCCATCTTCAGGGTCACCTGTGACGGGGAGTGGCACACCTGACCCTTGTCTTTTCCTGCCATAAAAGAAGTGCTTAGTCCACAACTCAGCTCCAGACCACTGTACTACATTCTGTTAGTCGACTCAGGCCACCTCTAGTTCTGTCAGTTTGCTCTGTTGTATTCTGCTCATGCTAATTCTTCTGTTCAGTTCTTCTAGTCGCTCCCTGTCAGATTCCTGCTCCAAGCTCCCTGCCTTCCATCCCTACCCGGATGCCGGTTTCCCAGCCTAGCATAACCTTAGAACTTTGAGATAAAGTCTGTATTGTATTTTGTAATTCGCGTTTCTAGTTTGATGTCCCTCCTGGGCTTCCATAGATCCCCCATTGCCTTGTACTTCAGTCCATGTAGTTCCCTGCTTTCACCAGTGAGTGCCGCTCATGTCCCAGTCCTTAGTATTCTCCTGTTATTGTGTACTGAGTATCTATGTGAATAAGTTGTTAAACTTTTACTGTGTGTCATGTCTCTCTGTCCGCGGTCGGTTCTCTATTTCCTGTGACACAGACAAAAGTGAATGCAGTTCTCGATGTACTCACTGAGAATGCTGATCTCTCTTAAGTGAAGTTGCATGTAGGGAAAGGTGTTACTCTACTCACACAACCTAACAGAAGAGTACCACTTTATGAAAAGAGATGTACTGAAGCTGAATCGCAACATCTGGAGGACCTTGGCATCACTGGTAGATGGTCCCACTCAGGGTTACTCTAATCATTCCTGTTCCAAAGTCAAAAGACCTGGAAGCAACGTGCATTTGTGTGGCCATGAAGATACCAAATCAAGATACTGCATGAGAGAGATGCCTCACACCGACAGTAGATACAATGATACAGTCACTTAGTGGATCAAAGTTCTTCTCAAAGTGAAAACACAGGGTTTTTTTTTCTGGTGTAGCAATTTCCCTGAGGTCTTGTACCAAATGGATCAGTAAAGTTTTACTCTATTCTAATTCTAATTCTAAAAAGCAACATAAATTCACACCAGGAGGTTGGACAGGCGGGCGTGGCATAAGTCAGCAGACTTTCACCTAAGAAACCAGAGCTCAGATTTTGTTTAGGACCAATAATTTCATATTAAACTTGAAATTATGTTTCTTTTCCCCTTGCTGTTTAGTCACATTTTCACTGTTTGTTTTGTTAAGTTTAGGTATAGCTACTTGGTTTGTTTTAGGAATCAAAAATACTTGTTCAGGTTTAGAAAAAGATCATGATTTGGGTTAAAACATGTACTTTTGCTACGTTTTAACACATTTTTCGAAGCTCCATTGTGTAGGTTTCCTGAGTAACAACTTCACTAGAGATTTAACATGTACTTATTCACAAGGTTCCCTGTGTCATCGCAATTAGTTTCTGTTTTCTAGAGATCAGAGTTGATAATCATGCAGGAATTTTGGCAAACTGTTTTGTGCAGGAGGGTGTCTGCTGCCAATATTTATGGGCCCAATAACAACTGATAACACCCATTTAATGGGCTGATAGTGTCACTGGATGGTACTTGGTTCTACAAAAACTGTGCCACTGTCTCCTGCTGAACTACTGCTCCGTACGAGCCTCAGGATCAAGCTGCTTGAATCTGCTCTCCCCTTCTAGTTTCAGAATGATGAAATATCCAGATGTAGTGGCAAAAAACACGATGAATCATAATGCTGACAGGATGCAACATGTTGCTCCTATTACTGGGAAAATGGTGTTGGGTCATCAAAAGAAGTAAGGCAATCTGTGTACTCCCTACAATCCCTATGCATGTGAGTTGAAAGTTGGATGGTGAACAAGATGTAATGGACCGCACTCTAATCCATTATGAACAAACACCAGAGTTCTTGGCCCCTGACCCATCTGGTCACAGTCACCTGTGCACAGATGCCTAATCAGCATAAGCAAAAGGCTCCCATTATACCTCACTAATGTAGAATAATGTGGATGAAAAGACGTAATGAAGGGTATAATACAAAGTAAAGAGTTACGTTTAACTGGCTAACAGTTAATGATTTTTTTTTTTTTAAGTCATTTGATAGTGGTGTGCTCTTTACACACCAAGGTAGTCTAGTTCACTGTTGTAAAATGCTGGAAGAAAAACTGTTAATATGTTAAGCTATGTTTGCAATCATGAGCTGTTCATGCAGCAGTTATGAATGCATCATGAAGTGGAGTTGCAGGTATTAACAAAGACATTCATACACTTAAAAATGCCCTTAGTTCAGGTTAAAATTTGCCTCATATTGTTATAAGCCATTTATTAATTGTTCATATACAGCTTATGAAAGCAAAACATGGTGAAGTAAAGTTTGTTTAAATAGATTCCCTTAATTCACTTATTAAAATAGGCAGGCAGTTATTAACTGACTTGCCTGTACTTGTAAATATATTCTGCTCAGTCCAGTCAGAAGGCCTGTTCTGGGCCCTTACCATTCTGTCTTTTATAACACTGCCGTGTTTTGTCCTTGATGCCAGCTGGATGTCAAGGTTGCGTAGGAAATGGGCACTAATGAGGTGGACAAGATCAGATAGTGCACCTCCACACAAGAAGATGAATGCATTATGCTGATTAAGTCTAAGCAGGGTGTGCAAAACAGGTGGTTCAAGGTACAATCAGTGGGATCTCAGTGATTGATAACAAGGCTTTAATGTACTCTGTCTTTAAACTGCAGAAAGTGTGCCTGATTTTTATTCATCCACTGCTAAACTGCAAGCTTCGTATGTCATGTCAGGGTTAATAATGTCATGTATTGTCAAGATTTGAAAAGACCTTAACATCAACTTCATCAGCATCATGCTTACTGGACTGTTCAGTGGCTTCTTCAGAGATCAGGTGTCGTGGTCAGGCCTTGTCCAAGCCCTTAAAATACCGTTTCCCTGTTTATTTTCCTTGAGTAACTGCAAGGTTGTTAAAATCATCATATTCCTTGCTGTCTGACAGTGTCGGCTTGTTCCAACTCTTCAATATATCTATATAATGATCAACTACAAGAGGACTAAGATCAACTAAGAGAAAAGGTCAAACTCAAACTTCTAAGGAATTATACCCTTTTCTCCTTTGATAGCTAATCAGCAGTGCACTTTTTTTTTTTTTTTTTAAAGAGTCAAACACAAGACCAACATTCAGCCTGACACACTTTCATATCTTTGGAAACTTTAAGATCTGCACTAGAATCTGATATTTTCATCTTGTGGAAATGTGACCCATCTGCACGAAATCAGTTACATTGCGTCTAGAAATATACCCGAAATATACTCGAGATACAGCCCGAATTACATTAACACATGATAAAATATTGATTTTGGGTTTATTACTTAGATCGTTCCATTTAGTTGTTTTTTACATGTAGGTAACATAATATTACAGAGCGTATTACACTCCATATCGCTGTTAAATACCGTCAGGTGCAATGCAACTAATTTTGTGCAGATGGGTAACAAATGACGAAGGTTTGCAGGCAATTAGACCAGATGCGTAATGTAACATGAGGATTTGAATACTTGCAATGAATGACTAGAACAAGCAGATACGGAAAATGCTGTTCATGACACAATGTCATACCTGGAGAAAACTTTGTCATTATAAAGTTTCTTCATTTGATTATAATCAATAATTGTATGTTAAAAATGGATCAGATGACTTGTTTTCATGCCTCCAGAGAGAACCAACTCTGTCACCAACTGTCTTCAGAAATTTTCAGTCTCTTGGAGTTCATGGTTTTGGTTTTTTTCAGCCGGTAACATTACTGCTTTGGTCTCACAGTATGTGTCTGCATTATAACTAGTGAAAAAGTTCTGGAAAAATCCTGATTTTCTCAGTAGTAGACTGATACACTGAGAGACAAGTTCATGAGTATAGTGCAGCATCCATCCATCCATCCATCCATCCATCCATCCATCCATCCATCCATTATCTATATACCACCTAATCCTCAATTTTTAAGTAACCATAGATAGCATAATGAGAGGGAGATCAATGTCCAGCTGAACAAACAAGGCTTGAGGGGTTGGTAATGGTTATTTGGTTTAATTGGTATAGTTCTGATCATCATAACTAACACTCCTCTGGTTGTGTGTAGTGATAGCTACAGGCTAAAGTTACTACAGTAGAGCAACTCACTTTACATTTTAGCTTAAACTAGTTTGTTGATTTAACCTCAAAACCAAGATCACCAACATTGAATGATTTATAAACAGATAACAAACAAATGATTTTTAAATGAAAACCCTTGATGTTGTACAGCACAGCGGTGAATTGTACACGTCTTGGATGTTTTATGACAGTTTTTATGAATTGACAGAAATGTTTCATTTTTACATTCCTGATAGTTCTGATATTTTTATACTTATTTTTTTGTATATGAATTATTTTTGAAACACAAAAAGAGTGGTGAACTCCTCTTTCAGTATTGTGCATAAAAACAGCCCTATTTCAATAGAACAAGATGGGATGAGCAGGTATAGAGGACTGTGTAGCCAAACATGAGCACAGAGACATCAGATAACTCTTTCACTTTGTCTTGACTCATCATCTGCAATGACATGACCCACTTTTCCAGAGCTGGCTGTGAAGCATGCCAAGCACAGTGATGTTTTTTGGAGAGCTACAGCTTCCTCTGTGGTGTCCTGCCATCACATCACAGATCATAGACCTCTTTTAAATCTCTTCTTAAAACATGCTTTTATCAGAAAGCCTTTCTCTAACTTTACTTAATATATTGCTCCATTTTTTATTTCTTACCTATGCTCCTTGGTGTCATGTTATTGTGTGCCTTGAGTTAAAAATGACAATCTTTCTATCAATCTCCTTGTTACTTGTTTTACAAACCAACCACGGATAAAATGTGCTAACTTGCAAAATAATTTAAATCTTCCCAAGCATGAGCACACAGCCCACAGCTGACATTATTCTGTAAGATACTGAGGTTAAGGTGAGGGTTATGCTGTGTTCACACCAGACGCGAGTAAAGTCATTCAGGGTTAGGGTTGCAGCTGTTGTGATCACATCACAAGATGGTCTCTAGTTTCATGTTACTATTCAGTGTCCTTTTGTATGTCCATCCATCCATTATCTATACACCGCTTAATCCTCATTAGGGTCACGGGGGACTGGAGCCTATCCCAGCTGACTCAGGGTGAAGGCAGGGGACACCCTGGACAGGTCACCAGTCCATCGCAGGGCCACACTTAGAGACAGACAACCAAGCACACTCACATTCACACCTACGGACAATTTAGAATCACAAATTAACTTCCACATGTTTTGGACTGTGGGAGGAAGCTGGAGAACCTGAAGAGAACCCACGCTGCACAGGGAGAACATGCAGACTCCACGTAGAAAGATCCAGGTGTCCTCACCGAGACGCAAACCGGCGACCTTTTTGCTGCGAGGCAACGATGCTAACCACCGAGCCACATTTTCCCAGAAGCACTGTAGAGTGCAGACAGACACACAACCTCAGACACACAGTGATGTTTTCTGGTGAGCTACGACTTCCTCTGTGGTGTCCTGCCGTACACATTATTGATCCAGCTTTGTTTTTTGCTTAAATGCTCCTTGCTGGCATGATATATTATTTTATACTGTCTTTATTTCTTTTTTGTTTTGTTTTAATCAATATTATTTAGTCATTGGTGTACCTGATTTTATGATCTACTCGTTTTATTTATTTTACAGTTTACAGGACAGCTTCTTGGTTTCTGATATACTGTATTGGTTTTTATGAATTTGTTTTACTTGGTTTTTATCTTATTTTGTTGCTTGTCTGAAGCACTTTATTATTATTATTATTTTTTGTATATAGTAGGCTCTTGTTACTCAGGGTTTTTTTCTGTACCTCACTCAGCATTGTGTATTGTGCTCTTCTTAACTGGGCACTCACTTCTACAAAGAGTAGAGAAACTCTCTCTATTTTCTCTTGAATTATTGTGTACCTCGTCAGCTTTAGATTTGTGTGTTATAAGCTGGATGGGTTTTGCTTTGGTGAGCAGCTGTCCATGAATGCAGATCATATCCAAAATGGGTTCAAATGCTCTTTTGCTATTTTCCAGCTATTGTGACATGGTACTTCAGAATTAATTTACAAATAAATTTGTAATTACATGAACACAAATGTTAAAATGGATTTATTCAACATACAGCAGAGTAATGCAGATAATAGACTTGTAATTTCTACAGCTGAAAAGAACATATTTCTCTCTAGTCTGTATTGTGTTCTAAAGCACATGCAGTTGAAACCAGAAGTTTACATACACTGTATAAAAACATATAGCCTTTTTTTCCTCACTATCTGACATTAAATGTGACCAAACTTTTCCTGTTTCAGGTCAGTTAGGATTATCAAAATTATTTCTATTTGCTAAACACCAGAATAATGAGACAGAATTTTTAATTACTTTCTTTCAAGTCAGAAGTTTACATACATTTCCTTACTATTTGATAGCGTTGCCTTTAAACTGTATGACTTGGATCAAACGTTTTGGGTTTCCTTCCACAAGTTTCTCACAGTAGTTTGCTGGAATTCTGGCCCATCCCTCCTGACAGAACTGGTGGAACTGCATCAGGTTTGTTGGCTGCCTTGCTCCACACACCTTTTCAGCTCTGCCCACAAATTTTCTGCAGAATATGGTTGAGGGCTTTGTGATGGCTGCTCCAAAACATTGACTTTGTTGTCCTGAAGCCACTTTGTAAGTAATCTGGCGGTATGTTTAGGGTTTTTGTCCATTTGGAAGACCCATTTGCACCATTAACTTCCTGGCTGATGTCTTAAGATGTTGCTTCAATATTTCCACATTTGTATTTTTATACCGTTTATGTAAACTTCTGGTTTCAGCTGTATGTATACATCTGAATATGATTATTATTGTGTTGATGCCATCTTGGGATATATCATGGAATGTGCTCCATCTGACCTAGAGATCTGACATACTGACATTGAGATTTTCCCAGTTTTTCAAAGACACTATAATCACAATAAAAATTCTGCATTTTGTGCCATTAACTTGTTCTACATGTTTCACATGGCCTCATAAAATCCACACACAGCTGTTTGGGATTCCTAATTGTACAGGTCTTTGTATGGAAAAAAAAATTACTAACCACAGCTCAAATATGTATTATTGCCTATAACTCAACAAATATATGGTTTCAAGTAACAGTCCAAGATTTACAATTATTTTACATTATCACAGAGCAGCTTCAGATTTCATTTTCTTCTGATGAAAAACTTCTTTCCCAAAATGTGAGATTTGGAATTTAAGTATAATGGTATTTCAGTGAATACAAGTCACATTTTTGTTAAATTTCAGCTTAAAGCAAAGAAAAATACGAACAATAAAAATCATTGATTGTTTTTAACACTTATCACAGCTTACATATGCCATCATCTACACACAAGTCTTCATGCTCGCTTGGCATGGAGCATCTCACTGAGCAAGTTGTTGCATGGCATCTCAGCATTCAGGTGTCTCCAGTATAGGTAATCTTCAGTGAGGATGCTGAGAGACCGTAACTCAGACAGACACAGCAACAGATGAGTGAAGCGGCTGAGGTACTGTGAAGAGGTGGAGAGTGTATACTCCAGCAGGGCTCTTTGAATCTGTTCTTGCACACTCTCTATTAACCCATGCTCTTCAAGCTCTTTCACATCTGGTCAGTGAAATAAAGACAAAGTGAAAAACTGAAAAAATGTACAGTCATTCCTCCACATTCTCTAACTTATGACATTTCAGTTCCTTATGAAATGAAACGTCGTAATGTCATCATGAAATGACAACATAGTAGGTGGATATACTTTCTCCTACAAAATGAAACCATGTCAAATAAATATGAGTTTTCTGGACAGACACTTTGTAATCAATTACTAGAAAAGCACATAGAACACAACCACAATAAAACAACTGATATATTCTATCATGGGACTTTTAAATGCTATGACTAACAAAATAAATGTAAACCCTGGTTTCTCTGGTTGAAGCACAATACCTAAAATGGTTCCAATGTATCTGGAAAGGAAGATGTCTGTGATTGTACAGCTGTCTCTAATATTATTAAATCTGAAAGGTATCTTTTATATGCACAGCCACCAAAACTCAAGTGATCAAATCAGAGTAAAACTCCAAGACTGTTTTATTCAATATGACACTCCATGTTAAAAGCACCAGCTGTCACAAACCTGGATTAAAGAGGATGAGGAACTTGATGCAGGCAAACTCTTGGCGATCCACCTTTAGGATGTGGAGCTTCTCAACCAGTTTTTGTCCCCTCTGGGTCAGGTTGGCCAGAGCAGGATCAGCATGAAAGACTATATCTGACAGTTCAACCTGAACCAAAGAAAACATCGACTGAAGTCAGGCAGTCACCACTCACTCTGTACTCTACTTTGTAAACTTTCCTATTCATGTGTTAAACCTATTTCCCAAAATTATATATATAAGATATAGAGTGCTTATGCAGTCCCCTTTCCATCACTGAAAACAGCCACAATGGGCCCATGAGTACAGTGCTGGACCATGGAGCAGTTAAAGATGTTGACTTGGCTTTCATATTCCCCAGATTGCAGATACCACAACACAATCTGTGGGATGTGGTGGAAAAACAAATCTGATCCATGGTGTCCCTACTTTGGAACTTCCAGGCCTTGCATGATCTGCTGTTACTGTCTTGGTGCCTGATACCACAGGATACCTTCAGAAGTGTTGTGGCATTCATGAATCGAAATCCTCAAACTTTTTTGGCGGTATTGGGGGACGGACACAATATTAGGTAGGTGGTTGTCATGTTGTGGCTCTTCAGGGTATTCAAACTACGCAAAACATTTGCATATAGCTACAGTAAAGACATTGGGGATTTTTGTATTTGTGGACAGGATTAGATGTTGCCTATCAGAAAAAGGCTGACCTTCTTCATAGAAAATCAGAGCATTGGATCACCACTACTCCAAACAACATGGATGCTTTCACATGTCAGTCTGGATAATTATATGGGTAATATGAAGGCAGCAGAGAAGTGAAGATGACCCACCTCCTCCCCAGTGACCAGGAGCAGACTGCCCTCTTTGCCATACAGGATCTGTCTGGAGATGATGTCCAGGAGTAATAGTTCACTCCAGCAGTGGTGCAGCAATTTCATCTGGTCACTAACCTTAGAGCATAGAGAAAGACCTTAAACCATTGAAATATAGAGTGTGCACAGACCCTGAAGTAAACCAGGGTGAACAAAGAATGTTGATAGCCACTGTCATGATACCCATTATCTCTGACTATTTCTGATTGGGATTCAGGTTTATGTCAAAGTCAAAGAAACCCTGGCTATGTCAAAGTCGCTTCATAGTGCAGAGTCCTCTCCTATCTAGCAGAACTGTTGCCTCATCATATCCTGGTTAGAACACTGCCACTGACTAGCCACATGCTTGCAGATGTTCCAAGATCCAGGCACAAAAATTCAGGAAATCAAGATCAGATGGTATTTTCAAATTATACTTAAGCAGGTAAATGCATGCAAACGTGAACATTCAGTACATATATGACTCTTTTTCAGGCACAGAGTAAAACTAAAGCAGTGTGTACAAAACCAGAGTCCACAGACAGGACCTTACCTTAAGTTGTTTGAAGAAGATAGATGTGCGTGCCCATTCTACGATCAAGCACAACATCTGATCAGCAATGACACACATCAGGTTGAAGGTTTCGGGGTCCCTGTATCTCTCCCAGCCAGTCTGCTCCTGCTGGAGATGAGCAGTGATCTTATTCCGCAGCTGTAGCTCATCTGGATCACAGTGCAGAAACTCCAACACTAGCTGAGGTATCACAGGGTCTTGTGCAGAGGAACATCTTGAGGATGGATCATATGAATCAGTGCAGATTCCAGCAGTTGAGCCTGTTGAACTCGCCCAGTTGTTGTTGTGCTCTGACTTGATGGTCCAGTTTGAGGGGAAGGCGAACTGGTACTGGGGGACAAAAGGTGAGTTGGAGGGCAGAAGTGAAGACAATGATGGAGATTTATCTGTGGTTGTCGGAGTGCTGTGTAGGTTGGCAGTTGGGTGGAGGCCATCAGTAAAGGCCATATGTCTCTGGTGGGTTGAGGAGGCCCAAATAGGGTTGCGTTCTGGTCTGAATCTTCTGGCTTGTATCAAAGCCCTTTCCCGCTGCTTAAGGGCACGATCATGCTTGTACATAAGGCCAAACTTGTTTCTGCCACCTCTCATCCGATCTGCTCGAACAGCTGACAAGAAATGTTGATTTGTAAATAACAGTTCTTCAAGCTGATTTTCATCAGTGTTAAAGTTAAGGCCAACATTACTTGACCAATAGTTGTGTTTTCTGGCTGGAGATGACATAAACAGGTGACAGAAGATAGTAAGACATTGGGTAAAAGAAACATTTTAACAATTTCAATGAATTTGACCTAATTCATTGAACTATTTATTTTAGCTAGTTTTTGATACATATTATTTTTTTTCTTTTCCTGCCCTGCCCAGAGGGTTGGTTGGGGCATAATGGGTGTATTTCATATTTGCCCAACCCTCCATGTGCTCTATCTCTCTTTACTTTTGTTTGCAGCATTTTGTAGCAAATGTAGAGTGTGGGGAAAGTTTGTTTGGCGCACCACATGCCCGTCATTGGCTTCCTTTTCATGCTTAAAAGTGAGTAGGATAAAGGACACAGTGTATTTGGGTTGACTAAGAAGAAGTTAAATATTTGTTTTGAGTGCTGTGTTTGTGCTTTGTTCAAAATCCTATTGCTTGCGTTACCTTGAGGGTGACAGGAAGCTGTGGGTTTTACTGGCATAAAGAGGACCCGGCAGCTGGTGAAGGTTCTTGTTGTGCGATTTTATCAATAGTGCAGAGTTTTTTCCCAGCAGACTGTAGTGGCTTTCCCCTTATGGGTGTGCTGGTGATCAGGATAGTGTTATGGCCAATGGAGGTGACGCTTTACTCAGGAGCACATACATGCTTTGAGTACCACTAAGGTAGAAAAGGTATCTTTCCAAAAGTAGTATGTGTTATGAGTTTTCACTACCCAGTGCTTTTTCTAATCTTTTTTAAATGCCATCCCTGAAAAATAGTCCATATTACAAAAAAAAATCCCCACTAAATAACACAAAAACCAATAAGAACTCAACTAAAACTAATCAATATGTAAAAACTAAAAACTAGGAACTAGCAAACGTACATTTAAAAAAAAAAAAAAAAAAACTAAACTGAAATTGTAGACATGAAGTCAAAACGAAAATAAAATAAAATCTAATAATGAAAAATTCAAAACTATTATGATCTTGGTTTCCACTATAGTTTCTTTTCCAGGCACTGTCAGGGTAGTGACAGAAGACATTAAGGAGGGGAAGAAGTACTTCATTCCGCAAAGCATTCACATTGTGGACAATTAACCACTTCATCGACCATTTCCTCCGACTATCTGCCCATACATAATATCTTTGTTCTGTGACCAACCATGTACAACAGTGTATTCATCCATGTGCAATATGACTGTGGTCGTTTCACTTACTTTACGAACCAATATGTGCAATATTATAATGTATACTTGTAAATAACTTCTCTTCTGCTGCTTTTAGTTTTTACCTTTCCAATGTACCTGTACTGTAATGTACCCATGCAAATGGCAATAAACACTATTGTATTGTATTGTATTGTATTTAAGATGGCGATGACTAGAAAACAAACTGGACTGTGTCAGGTTGGATTTAACATCAAAACGGGAGGTGAGAGACTGTTGTGCCCTCATTTTTACTCAGACCTGGCTGAATGACCCGGTTAGGGTTGATGCCACTAACATGGAGGGGCTAACACTTTTCCATGCAGATAGTGCTCTCAGTGGTAAAACCTGAGGTGGTGGAGTATGCATTTGTATTACCAACAGATGGCACAGCAATGCAAATAGGACTTCACACTGTTCTCTGGACATTGAGCTGTGGACACTTTAATGTTGCTCCTATTATCTTCCAAGGGAGTTCTATTCCATAGTCGTCACTGCTGTTTACAGACCTCCTGATGCAGACACAAATGTGGCCTCAAATGTTCTCTAACACTAAATCCAAATTGGTTGAAACAGGACTGATGACAGCAGGTCAGAGAGAGAGCAGGTTACAGAGATGACAGCAGAACAAACAACTGCGCTATGCCAATCTAGCTGCTGAAACTGATATATTTGTGTGTTAGTAACGCCAGAAAATGGTCCGATGATGAGTGTGCCTTGTTGCTCCAGTGCATCTTCACAGGAAAGCCAGAAAATAAAGTTGTTGTAAGCATATGAACTAGTGTCAGAGGCAGCGTTTTAGGTCATGGTTGAAAAAAAGAGAGAGAAAAAAAGAGGTGGTTAGACCTATATTGAATATGTAAGAGATTTCAGAACACACTTTTAACACTGGTGAACTGTTTTAAATCTGAGAACCTCTAAGGATTTGATCTCTATTTTGGAGCAGTTAAAAATAGTTGCTTCCACTTATTATTAAGAGTGTGAAGTAAACACAGCTGCTGATGGTGTCATTTCATCTATTAAATTGAACTTCTCCATAGAGATAGATGCAGTTGGCACACCAAAGCATGGGAGGACGCTGCCAGCCGAGTAATTAATTGAGGCTGTATGGCATGATGTGGTCAGGGAAGCTCAGTTGGTTTAAATCTGATACTAAAAGTCACTTTGACCTGAGTAAAAACTGTAAATATTGTCATCAGAAAGGTCGTTGAAAGGCTGATTGCATAATGTAAAAAGCCAGAGTAACAGAGGGAAGCCTGTGATTAAGCCTGCTGCATTAGCTGTTCCTGTAAATGACCCATGTACCTCTGAAGAACTCCCTTCTACTCACTGTGAGCCCGACGTGTTAGCTGTATATGCATCGTTTATTAGAGATAGTTTTGTGTCACTTGTGGGAAGTGAAGCAGTCCCAACAAACATTCTTCTGGGCTTATGATCCATACATAGCGGATTCTGTGTTGACATTAACAGCCAAGAGTAACAGCGTCTATATACAGCAATCTTTCGAGCACTTGCCACTGCCAAGAGAGCTGGGAATCTCTGTGTGTTGTTGGAGCAACCGCCCTAAATGTCTGACAGGGAGGACAGGGGTGTGGTGAAGTTGAGGCTATACATTTCCTGTTGTCCATGCTCCCCACTTCCTCATTTTGGTTGTGAATGATTCGACTGTGTTGCTATGTGGATCGCACAGCAGGTACAAGGCAGTCCAGTTGGCTGTTTATGATTTTATGGTTACATGTCTAAGACATGTTCTCTATACTGACTGGCCTCTAAGCATTTTACACCAAAGGGGCTGTGGCCTCTACTGCCCCGTTCAGTGGGGTGTCACAGGAAGACATCTGCTTGACTGTGTCTTGGTCTTCCACTTTCCCCTTTCTAAAGTCAAACCTCAGTTCACAGCGATAAGAATGCTTAGCTTGCCATGTGGGAGATAGTGATGTATCCTTGCATACTGTGGTAGGCATGCAGCCTTTAGAACCCTGGGTGGTGGTGCCTAAGCTGTGGCCTTTGGCCCATCTTTAGATTTTTTCTCTC